AAAGTTTACATGTATTGAGAAATCTATTTAATATTTTAAAATATAAATTAATATTTCCAAAAAATATGAATATGTTTAGAAACATAATTATTATATTTACAAATACAAATAACTAAATAGCTAATAAGATAACATAATTATAAGAAAACATAAATACTAAATTAAAGATTATATTTTAAATAAGAAAATTATATTACTCTATTAATATTTTAGTTTTAAGTTATTTTAATTAAACTAAATTATTAAAACAGACTCGCGCGTAGCGCGAGTATAAAATCTAGTATCATATAAAGGTTAAAGTGTTACATTAGAGATACACTAAAGTATTGTGACACTTCATTTTCAGTTTAAATAAAGTAAAATATGATTTCTTACACCGAGTCACCACCCATCTTCCTTTTCGCACTGCATCAACTTATTTTATTATAGAGTTTTCACCTTTTGATTGTGTGTTCCATCAAAGAGGGTTTCAGTTTGTGTGATTGTCCGACTTAAGAACTCCGAACACCTCATTATAAGGAGTTTGTCACTGTAAATTAATTTACTTAACTTTAGAACTGAAGTCCAATTAGGATCGGATTAGAGATTTTAGAGGTTTGAAAATTTTTTAAAGAATTTTGGTAAAAAATATTTCTTTTAAAATTTGAGGGTTTATTTCAATAAAAAAAAAGTTTAAAAATTTTGGAGGCCAATACTAATATTTTTACTGGTTTATGCCCATATCCACCTCTGAGTTCTATGAGTCTCATGATAACACTGTCTTACTCAGTTACAGAATCCAAATACAAACTTCATAGATACAGATGACAACTTCTGAAATAAACATTAAACAAACAATTGTTAGTCTCATGTGCGAGTTGCTGAAAAATAACAACAAATCTCATTATTTAAAATAATCACAATCCTTAAAGGGGATATAATCTCATGAAATAAACACACACAAAATACTATAAACAATAAAATATATGATATTGCTAAACGAGTTCTACAATACGAGAATGGGTTTCAATGATCTCCTAGAGTAAAGCACGTCCTCCACGGGAACCTAGATGATGTTTACACATTCACATTCTACTTCAACTATTCATTCCGTTGTTATGTATTTTCCGTTCAAGTTGAACATCTATGTTCGTATTTAATGTTTTCGAAAGTCCTTGGTCAAATTTACTTTCTCTAATATAAGCATACACTAAATTAGAAATCCACAAAACCCTACAACTACTTACAAATATTTAACAAATATAAAAAATGACTCAAAACTATAGAAATGTTACCATATTAAACCAAACAAAATACGGCATTCTAAATATACACAACCCAATGCAGGAACTCTCTCAAAACGTTACTCCAAAGTAGCTACACAGCTTTTAAAACGCGTAGTAAAAAACCTTTAAAAAAACAAGGTTCCATGAAACAACACCCATAATGCTTTCCTTTAGATGTTTACGTGAAGACATAATATACATTATCCTCAAAACCAGAAAATACAATACTACTTTAAACAAGACAAAAACAAATTAAACAGATAAACAAGTGAGAAAAAAATTACCTTCATTACCAACATTTATAATAACTAAAATTAAAAAAATATAAAGAATTTACAAATCCGGCGCGTAGCGCCGGCACACCCCTAGTTGTGCATAAAGTGCAGATCTTAACCTAAGTATGTATATTTTTAATTCTCTTAAATCTTAAGTATTTTCTAAATCCCAGGTCAAAACAAATAAACGAAATGAGAATAAACTTCACAATCAGTATTTATATCGAGTAATAACCAAAATATAAAAAAACACTACAAAAGAAAAAAATTGAAGATAAATAGGATTAACACGTGAACGTAAACTTCTCATAACCATAATTAATTTTTAAATTGTTAAATCATGATATAAAACTGAGTTAATTTTTAATTTGTTAATTTTTTATTTTTTTTATTTTTTAAATCATTATAGTTATGTTAAATCATGACCATAATTAATTTTAAAATTTTTATTTGTATTTGACAAACTTAAAATATTGTTTTTAAAAATAATTTAAAATTTAACTTAATTTTTCATAAAATTATTTAAAAAATAATAATTGTAAAAAATATAGTTTTCTAATATTATTATACAAATAAATAAATTATACTAAATTTGTTTTGAAACTTTATATATTTTAAATGCAATTATTTTACCAACTGCTTTTTAAAAAAACATTAGGAAATTTGCTAATAATCTACCAATCAAGTCCAATGACACTCTGTTTATTTTCCATCACTCGAACACTAAAAAGTGAAAAGATATATGAAACCGGGTCCATTAAATTCTAAGATTTGATCTACAGTTCTAATTACAATTGTTTCTTATCCTACGTATAGATAATTATTTAAAAATTCCAAAATTCTAAAATTTCAAATACATATAAAAACAATTATATGTAATTTTAATTGTATCAATACTAAAATTTTATATTTTAATTACGTATATTCACCCTGCGCAAGGCGCAGGTCTTATCCTAGTTCTTAAGATAAAACAAAAGCCCAAAAATTTCTATTCCTATCCTTAATACCGTTTTCATTTACCATTTGATTAAGAGACACCTATTGCATTGTAGATGAGTGAATTGATGACGTGGCAAGTTAAAAGTAGAGAAAAGCCTTATATATATATATATATATATATATATATATATATATATATATATATATATATATATATGACAGATGAAGAATTGCAAACAAAAGTTTTAACATTGAATAATCTATTCTAAATAATCCAAAAATTTTGGAATAGTAAAGTCTAAGTCGACAATAGACAATATAGGAAACTTCAAAAAACATATTTAATAAAGAGAAAATTTAGGTTTAAAAGGACAAAAACAAACACAAAGTATTACAATTTCCAGTTTAATAATTTCAATGAAGCAGACATTTTATAAATTACACTTAATATAGGTTATTCAGTCAAAGATTAAATTCATACAAATAATTCGGTTAACATATATGTATGACCAAAACCTAAAATACAAATACAATCTTAAAGAAATTAATATCTAAGTTAATATTAAATTGAACAAAATTTTTGTAAATATCACATAATGTAAGATTTTAGTTAGTATTCGTGTTTTAATAAGAAATTAGATCTTGACCTGCACAACCGTGCGGGTATTTTAATACAAAAATATTTGAAATTATATAATACTCTCTCCGTTTCAAATTAGATGATGTTTTAAAAGATTTATTTTTTTTCAAAATATAAGATGTTTTGAGATTTTAAGGTATATATTGAGGTTTTAAAGTTACCTTTAACTTTATTGGAAACTGTTCAACCATAAAATTTTACTGTCTTTTTAATAATTGGTTGAATGATTTTAAAGTTATATGTTTAAAAATAAATTTTCAAAAGAATGTAAATTTGTTAATCTTTGAGTAATGATACAAAACATCATATATTAAGAAACGGAGGGGGTAAAATTAATTCAATAAATAAATCTAATTTGATTATGTATACTATCTAATTTTATAATAATATTTATGTGGCTTATAATATTAGGAGTTTTAAATTTATAAATTTGTATTTTGTAACAATTTTTAAAAACTTGATTATGTAAGATTACTAATTTATATTTTTTCTAAATTTGAAATATATGTAAAAACTAAATTAAGTTGGACCTACGTAATACATAAATAAAATTTTGGGATATTGTTAAACGTGTTTTGCATAATTTTAACATCTAAAAGAATTTTAAAAGATTTTTTTAGAATTTCTTAAAACTATTTATTTGTATTTCAAATAGAAACTAAAGATATAAAAATATTAAAATGATGTTATCTAAAATTTTACAAAATTTATAAGGATGGTCCCAACTAAAATAATCACACATGAAATGAGTTATTACTTCTTTTTTAATATAATAGATATATCAATAATAATTTAAAATAATAAATTAAATTACTGCATGCAAATTATGAAATTGTTGTGTTTGAAAATGTTATATTAAATTATTAGCAGTATTATAAATATTAATATTATATACCAGTAATCATATAAATTTAATATTTATATAAAACAAAAATAATCATACATACGATTGTGCAGATCAAAATCTAGTTAGTTTTTCTTTCTTTTAATGTTTGGTCAAATAGTATATGATGTGTTGATTCAACATTACGGACTTATTCCTTTGAGGAGACTAATTGTTTATTGGTTTACCCCTAAGGTCTTTCATAAGATTTAAATACATGTAGACGTTTCGATATTTCACACGGTGTTGCTTGACCGTTTCAACACGAATTTATGAAAGTGCGTATTGGTCACGTTCATGTGATGAGGAAGGCGAGTTGCAAATTGCAATGTTGAAGATGTTACCTCTCGTTTCCCTCTCTTGTTATGTCGCGATCAGGAAGTCATGTTTAGACTTTTTCTTCGACGTGTTATATTGTATATATCTTTTTTTTTTCTTTTTGGTCAAAGTTATATTATATATATCTAAGTCTTCGTTTCTATGTTATAATTTTGGATAAAGAAATACAAGCCAAAGACTTTTCCTCCATTGAAAAGTAGACAATCAATCAATCAATCAGAGTCTTAGTACTACTAACTTACTAGTATATAAACATATGGGTGTGATATATGATCTTATAAACTCTCACCTTCATTTCCAAAACCAATACCCAAGAGCTTTTCATCCTTTTTTCTTGTAAACCATGGGTCGATTTTCGGTTTTGAATCTTCTAAACGAGGTTGTGGGTATGTTAAACGAATCCCGAAAACTCTTTGTCATGAACAAGAAGTTGATGTTCGCTGTCTTGGTGTTTTATATCTTGCTCAATGGTTTACTTTACTTGTTCAACGTCCTTACCATTGCACCCGAGATAACAAACTTGACTCAAGATTTAAATTTGTTACCTACGATGGATCCTAGCAGCCCGGAATACATGGCCCAACTTATGAAAGTCTTTGCAGAGTTTCGCCTATTTGTCGTTTCTTCAGACATCTTTAGCGCTGTCTCCTTCATCATCAAACTTCTATCCGTTGTAGTCATTGTCCACGCTTCGGCTCTTACATATAAACATGAGAATATCAAGTTCAAAGATTTTGTGGTTCTAATCCTTAAATCTTGGAAGGGACCTCTTGTGACCTCTTTCTACATTTCTCTCTTCAGTCTTGGCTATTGGTTGCTCTTTGTAATAATCCTTTTTCCTATCCTTTTGTCATCTTTAAGTATTACTTCCTTGCTTTCCTTGGCAGCCAAGGTTTTCGTTTTGCTTGTTCTGTTCGCATTGTTTGCGTCTTATTTAGCTATTGTCTGGTACCTATCTTTGGTCATATCAATACTGGAGGAAACCTATGGGATGCAAGCTTTGGGGGAAGCTGCAAAGATTGTTAAAGGGATGAAGCCAAAACTATTCCTCTTGAATATTTTCTTCGGTTTATTGATCTTTGGTGTAGCTCAGATCGTGATTCCAGTGAGTATAGTGGTCGATAAAAGCCAGTCGTTTGCGGTTAACTTAGCCACCGGTTTTGTCCTAATGGTGTCAACATTTGTGGTGATGTTTCAACTTATGACTTACACCGTTGCATATTTCCAATGTAAGAGCCCCCATGGCCAAGACGTTGAGTCGCTGCGGGATGTTGAGTATACGACACTACCCACTACTTCGCTTGTGGGAGCATTGCCTTGAAATATTTAAAAAGACGGGCATAAAATGGTATAGTCACATGGATGGATTGTTTGTTTTGTTTTGGGATTTGATAAACTACTGTTATAAATAATCAATTGTTTTGTTGACTATCCAGCAATTTTTTTAAAATAGTAATAACAGGCTCTAGCAGCATATTTGCGCTTCTTCCTTTATACCATTTATGCTGCGGCCGCATATGACATCCATCAGAAACTCATAAGCCAAATATTACAATCAAATCAAATCGATACTATAATTTCAAAATTATTAATTTATTTCAGAAATGAATATATAATTACAAATGCAAATTTATATATAATAATATTTCAATATAATTTTAAATATCATTTATAAATATACCATAATATATACAATTCAAGAAAATACAAATTGATACTAAAACCTTTAAACTAACCAATTTTCAAATTACGAATATTCCTAAAGATTTTTTTAGTAGTTATTTCTCTAAATTTCATTTACCAAACCCATGGCTAACATATATTATATTCATTAATATGTATTGATTTTTTTCATCTCTAAGCTTAAATATGTGCACTCGGGGTCCCAATCGAATTTAGATTTTGTCCAATCGGGTCTCGATTTTTCGGATTGATCAAACTTAGCTCCATTCGGATTATTTGAAAGTTTGGTTCGGGATCGGTTCGGGTTCTATTGGGTTCGGGTCGGGATTAGTAATTCTTTAAAGAACCGGTATAACCCGTTATACTTTCGGATTCGGATCCCAATCGGTACTTTGGTTTAAAAATATCTGATTTGTAACTACTTTGTAACCAAAACATAAGTAAAAACGATTCTTCGGATTTAAAGTACCTGATGTGTAACTATTTTGTAACCAAAACATAAGCAAAATTGATTTATAAATAAGAAAGGAACATCAAACGTGATTATTCAAAATCAAATGAAAGGTAAACATAGTTGTTAATAGAAAGAAAACCAAATAAATGAAAGCCTAAAACGAAAACCAATTCTTAAAAAATGAGAAATATTATTCAATAAAAACAAAACCTTAATCTAAAAATTTCAAGTTTTAACTGTCACTATCAACCATCAACCTTCATATAATAGATAATTATTTTAGATGTTTAGTAATATCTTAAAGTATTTTGGATATATATTAGGAATTAAGATCATATTCGGGACACATTCTTATTAAAAAATTTGAATGTTTCGGGTTCTATCGGATATCCATTTAATTTTGGATTCGGTTCAGATAATACTCACAACCCAGAATACACATAAAACAAGATCCATTCGATATTTAAGTCGGATTCGGATCAGTTCGGATTCATTTTTATCGGATCGGCTTCGGTTCGGGTTTTTGGGTTCGGTTTATTTGCCCAGCCCTATCTAAGCTAATAGTTCATAAATTCATTCACTAGCAAATTTTCCTGAATCTTTGTTTTTGATTAAATGTTATATTGATTTATTAAATGAACTAGATCTTTTGGCCGCGCTAAACGCGTTGGTCTCTTATAAAAAAATTCCAGTCATATTGTTTATATATATAATATATTGTATAACTAAATTTATAATTAAAAACAGAAGCAATAGAATGTTAAATTAAAAAAGAAAAAGATTAATGATTGAAAAAATCATTTTAGTTAATGCAAGTAAGAGTTTCATAAAAAAAACTAATAATGAACAATTGTTTTTTACAAAAATATAGATTTTCTAGTTTTTTAAAACAAAACCCTCATTTTATTTGTGGTATAAATAACTACTGTAATATTTTAATCTTTTAGTTTTATATTTTCTATCTTCAAAATATTGGTAGAAAATAATCACTATCAAAATCTGAAAATTAAGTATATAAAATAAATTGAATTTTATTTTAAATTATATGATATTATATAAATGTAATATTGTATATATTTTGTTGTTATGAATAATGTTTATTTATTCTATTTATTTATAAACTGGAAGATATTAATTTATCCTTGCCATCAATGTGTTGAATACCAAACCGAAATTAACTTGACATTGCAGTTAGGTAAATGGTTACACCGGTCCAACTGGTTTGTAAATTTAATTTAATTTTAAGTTAGGTATCTATATATATGTATAACTATAAAATTATTTTTAAGAATTTTTATCATTGTTTGAAGCTAAAATGATATAGAAATAAAATGAAAACTTCAAAATAATATAAAATATACTGAAAATAATTTATTTAAATAAATATTAAAACAATGCAGGTTTTTACGAAAGTTGTTTTAAATTTTGCTTTTTTAACTTGAATTTGAAAAAAAATCAGGGTTTAATATCATATTGGACCATCGGTTTTAGCGAGTAACCGGTTCTTAAACCAAATTTGTTGGTTTTAGTACAACTCAAAATTGTTTAGAAGAGAGAGAGTCATGATCCAACCAGCCGGTTCCAGTTTTTAAAACACTTCTTGTCACAGAGCATCATTTTTAATAACAAACAACAAAATCGTCTTAGTAGACATATTTTTATTATGAACTTATGTCAAAAACCATATGCATTTAAAAATGAAATAATTGCCATTTAATTTTTTTTGTTTTTCAAATTTCCAAAGATTATGCAATACGAACCAAATTGTATGCATGGAATAGAACAAAATATAACTTTATAACAAAGAAATAGAAATTTGTGCGACCACCATAATTATACGTTTAAGAAAAGATAGTCATTTGAGCTTGAGAAAATGAATCTTTTTTTTCTTAAAAGAAAATGATAATTTAGTATATAAACTTTCATGGGTTGAGCTTTTTGACTCAACTTGCATATAGTCTATATTTTGTTACCAACTTATGTATTTAAGTAACTGATTGAAATAGTAATAAATAAATATTTGTGAATATCATTTATGTCCTATAATATTTGGTTTCTTTAGATCTAATACCCATATAAACTAATCATTTTCATGATTGTATATAATTGTCTACAAAAGATACTAAAATAGATTTTGAAACAATAAAATATTAAAGATTAGTTTGTTAATTGGTCGTAATATACCTTTTACGATCAATTAACATCGAAAATTCATTGGTCGTTATTCGCTAGTCGTAATGCACAATTAGTCGTAACGTAATCGTAATATTACGACCACGAGCAGTAGTCGTAACGTAGTCGTAATATTACGACTAACATATTGGTCGTAACGTAATCGTAATATTACGACTAACATATTGGTCGTAACGCTGATATGACAAACTTAGTCGTAACGTAGTCATAATATTATTAGTCGTAAAGCGAACGTAAACAGTGGTAGTTAATTAGTCGTAATTTTACAACTAAGTAACATCGACCGTTGTTGTCCATTGGTCGTAAATTAAAGACTAATTTACGACCAATGTTGATTTTATTTTTATATAAAATAATTTTTTTAATTTGATTTTTTGTTGGTTTTTAATTCGAATTTTTTAAAAAAATTTAATAAATTTAAAAATAGATATAAAAATTATAATTGATTAAATTAATATATAAAGTATTCATACAAAAAAAACGAAAAAAACTAGGTGTTTTGTTGAGGTTCATGTCCTGGAATAACTCAGAAGTGTGCTGCTCCGCACGTCGCTCTAAACCCACTTGCTCTTCTGAAGTGGGGTTGGGGTTAAAGCTCGGACGTAGAGCTTGCCATGCATTAGCAATTGTCAGGTTTGGGTTTGAGTTCTCCATCATAAGATCGAACATATCCGCCATAGCCTTGAACTTGTCTTTATGCTCGTCTATGACTCTGTTGGCAGCTGATAGTTCCCGTAGGAGAGAAGAATCTTCTTCTATTCTTTCTGCATGTTCGGCCCTCTCCCTCGGGACATCGTTCACAGTCCCGATCCCAACAATACGTCCCCTTTTCTTCGGAACAACCTACAAAAGATAAAATTTTATTTACTAATTATATTTATATATATAATTAAGTATAAATGTAAAAATTTAATAAAAAATTAAAAATGTTAATAAAGTAAGATATTCAAATAATTTACCTGCTCAAAATTTTTGTCTTGGTCGATGGTGGAAAGCTGGATCGGTAGAGCATCCAGATTTTGTTGCGACATCTGAGTCTGGATCTCTTCAATCCGATCTACCTCGTTGTAGATCTTCTCGGCTTGAGGATGCACAAAAGTCCCATCGGAACGTTGGTGGGTAATCTTGTATAGCCGGGCGAGAGATGGTGGTGCTTCTTCTTTGGCAGCCTGTATAAAAAAAATTAATTAAATTAATTTTGCGTTCAAAAAATAATAATAAAATCAAGAAAGGGCAAACACTTACAATTTCAAGTGCCCTCCAAGCATTTGGGGTCTGCCCAGAAGTATGAGGTACTGGCGGGTTACCTTGAGCATCCTTGGTCATCCGGACCGCATAGTACTTAGTAGACTTCTGCCTTGACTCAGGCTTCATCCAAAAAGCCACCAAACCATTTCAAACGTCATTGCTGAGGTAGGATGGTTTTGCGTCATCCCATTTTGGCCTCCAGTCGTCCTTCCAGTCCCCAACGATGTTCTTGAGGCGCTGCATCGCCTTATTGTAGAACCCAGCTTTGACCTCCTGATTGACACCAAGCGACCAATTCCATTTTTGCTACAAAAATTTATGAATAAAAAACATTAGTTATAATTTAACATACTATGAATTATATTAATTAAAAAAAAATATGGAAAAACTAACCGCGAAACACTTGAACCACGTAATGCGAACATGGTCCGGTGTAAGAGTCCAGTTCGGATGGGCATGCCGAAAATTTTCCCGAATGATATCCCCAACGCTCTGTCCTAAAACATTGTCCATCAAAAACCTACAAAATTTGAAAGAATTTATATATTTATATCAATATTTATGATTAAATAAGTTTTTAAAATTAAAACTTTAAATAATTTAGAATAATTACCAAAACGTGGCGGGCGTCGATCCGGATCGACAATTCGTAAACTTTCTTGTCCCGGCATCCGGAGAATATCTTCCACCGTATATCTCGCATATGGTGCATTCACCGGCACCATCAAATCTGGATGAAGACCGGGTGCAAGAGTCGGATCAGGTGCGGGATGCGGGGCCGCGACATGTGGGGGAGGCAGAGGGGGAGGCGGAGGGACATACTGCGGATCCAGCACATAAGTAAAGAAATCCGTATCATCAACCTGCGGATAGTACGGAGGTTGATCCTGATGATCATTAGGGTTGTAGACCGGTGGAGGCACATACGACGGATGAGTACTAGCCGGTTGGGT